CCACAAAAAAAAAAAAAAAAGAAAAGAAAAGAAAAAAGAAACAACTTCTAAGCGTGGGGCTCATGCCTGGAATCCCAGCTACTTGGGAGGCCCAGACAAGAGGATTGAAAAGTCAAGAGCAACTTAGATCTTACCTTAAAATAAAAAATTTTAAAAAGGGAGCCCGGGGATATTGTTCAGTGGTAGAGGACTTGCCTGTTATGCATGAGGCCCTGGGATCAGTACCTGGCACTGAAAAAAAAAAAGAAAAAAAAAAGCCTTGCCCTACTTCAATTTCCATGGTGTAAATACTGTTACCATGGTGTAAATACTGTTGCCCTGGCAGATTTCAATTACCAAATGCAGAGCCAGGCTCCATGCTGTGTACGCCAGCTCCAGAGCATCACTGTGATGTTCTAGAAGACTGTTTGGTGTTTTGTTCTTGGTTTTCATTTGTTTACTTGGTGATACTATAGAGTGACAGTATCTTTGCTGGCAGGTCTGCACTGCACAACTCTATGGCACCATTCACATTTACATGAAGAGTGCATTTATTATACTTGTACAAAGCACAGCTTTTCTTGGTGGTCCTATTTTCTAGTACTAAAATGATACTATTTTACTGCTTTGTAAGACCTACTTAGGTGTACAAGATCAAAGTAATATGGGTAATACAATTAGGGCTGTGAGGCTGCTTCCCTCCCCCTTAACCTTAGCAATGCCCCAGGGTAACCCCCCTACCATTGTTCTAAGGCTTACTCATATGGAGACAGATTAAAAAGCAAAGACCCCCCCCCCCGAAGCCAGTCCTGAAAAATTCCAAACTAGGACTCATACACGCCAAATCTACCAACATGACCTACCATAATGTTTCTTCACCTGTAGCTCATTGAAGGTTCATGCATATAGACTACATCTCATTATATGCAATTATAACAAGATAAACCATTAAAAAGGACATGGTGTGGTGGCGCATGCCTGTAATCCCAGCACTCGGAAGGCTGAGGCAGGAGGATCGCTGGGAGTTCAAGACCAGCCTGGGCTACATAGTGAGTTCCCAGTCAGTCTCAACTACATAGTGAGACCATGTCTCAAAAACCGCCCCCCAAAACAAAGGACATATAAAATAGACACAACACCCTGTCAATCACGTTGTCAACCATGCTCTAAAAAAAACCCATTGGGAGGCATCCCCAAAACAATACAACATTTTAAACCCCTCTATCCTAGGTCCTTAGTGCTTATGCCATTTTCCCTTCACAAGCATGAGCCCGCTTACTCTAAACCTCCCATTGACTTAGGAAAGTTTGCTGTTTTTTCCTTACCATCATGTACCACTTCCAAGTTTTTGTTTGTTGCATACAAGAACCACAAAGAATGTCCTGGACCCCATCACCCATGATAACAGAAGTTCTGAAACTTTAGTACAGACTGAAATCACCTATTGTGCTTGCTGAAACTCAGATTGCTAAATCTCATTCTTAGAGTCTCTGATTCTATAGTCTGGCTGGGATTTGAATTTCTAATGAATTCCCAAATTGTGATGATAATAATGACCTTTGGACTTAGTCTTTGAGGAACACTGGCACATAGAAGAGTGCATATTTTCTCTGTGATAAGGAAATAACATATCAGTACTCAATTACAGTTTTTTGAGGAATCTCCATAATGTTTTCCATAGTGGTTGTACTAGTTTACAGCAACATTCCCAGGAACAATGTAGAAGGGTTCTTTATTTCCTAGCTGCCTCACCAACATTTGTTATTTTTTGACTTCTTTTTTTAAATAATATTTCTCCTTTATTTTATTTTTCTGTACCTTTATTTTACTTCTTGATAGCCCTTCTTTCTGGAGTAAAATGAAATCTCAGCATTGTTTTAATTTGTATTTCTCTAATGGCCAGAGATTTTAACAGAAGCTTAAATATCACATTATTTCTTTTATATGACAAATTCAAAATATAAATAATTCAAAGGTCAAGGGCTGGGGATTTAGCTCAGTGGTTCTGCCACTTGCCTCATAAGCACAAGGACCCGAGTTCGATCTCTGGTACCAAATAATAATAATAATAGTAATTTAAAGGTCAAAAAAATAGATAATAGGAAACACAGAGATAGATCTTTTGCAAATTGGAAGGGGGTCTAGAGGTGGAGGATGGGGAGGGAGGGGTGGAAGAAGGAAAATGAAAAGAATTAAATGTTTTATGTATATGTACCAGCTCCCTACAATGAATGTAATCATTATGTGTTGCCAACATGAACTAATAAAAAAAGAAAAATAATAATTAGACAGCCTGCCTTGGAGAATAGGGGCTTAAAGTAGAGTGGGGTCCCAACTCACATACTTATCAGGGACTGGCGGGTAGCAGAAGTATAAGTACTGGGTAGCTCAGATTTGCAGAATGTTACTTTTATTTCTCCCTCCCCCTCCCACTACTCCTCTTTCTCCTTTCCTTCTTCTATTCCTTCTACTCCTACTCCTGCTCTTTCTCTTCCTCTTTCTTTTTCCTCTCCTTGTTCAAGACCGAGCCCTACTGTGTTACTCAGACTGGTGTTAAACCCTGAGCTCAAGGGATCCTCCTGTGTCAGCCTCCCAAGTAGCTGGAACTACAGGTGGGTGCCTTCTTGCCCAGCTGAAAATGTTACATTTAGTGAAAAGAAAAATTCAAAACATTGCATTCAGGATTAATTCTTTTGCTTTGAGTTTTAGGAGCACTAGCCCCACACCAAATTCATCCAGACTGCAGGGCAGTAGCATGCTAGGCAGTGGTCTATGACTGAGCTACATCTTCAGTCTCTGGTTTGTCTTTTGGAAAGGACAAATTGGTCAAGACTGAAGTCATTGTGTTGCAGTCTAGGTTGAGTCCTTGCTTTTAATAATAGAAATTTAAACTAAAGCACAAATTTACAGAAAAAAAATGTTTCAATTGAATGGTTAAAGGGAAGATAGGAAAGGACTCCAGCTTAGGTAGCTGGAGGGAACATACTCTGATACAGGGGTATAGACTGGCCCACTCACAAAGGCAGAAGGTCAGCTGTTAAGGATTAGCTGCTGATCTGGGTACAGTTGATCATTACTTCAGTCCTAGTGTCATAGTTCTTAGTCATGGTGTCGTAGCTCTGGAATCTTTACATCTGGGGGATGAATTTGTTTCCAGGTGATCAGGATTCAGCAGATTCAGGATAACATCTGGAGACTTCTCAAATTTAGATTGATGTCCCTGGAAATTGCCCATCCTGTCATTTTTCTTTCTTTCTTTCTTTTTGTACCGGGAATCAAACCCAGGACCTTGAGCTTTCCAGGCAGGCACAGTGCCACTGAGCCACATCCCTGGCCCTCCATCCTGTCTTTTTTAATCTTGAAGAGGATGAAATTATGTAAATTCAGGTCTAACCAACCTTGTTTTTACAATATATAAGCAGACATTCCCTAAATGATAAACATCTATATATACAGCTGAGATTTGATGCAAATTTTATAGCAACAAAGGTTACAAAATGAAAGTCAAAGTCAAACTTTCTTTTTTCCCAGTGGCAAAAGTTTATTTGAAAAAGTAAAAGTGAAGAGTGAAGGAGAAACTGGCTCTGCAGCACAAACTTGGGCGGAGTAAAAGAGGAAAAAGTAAGATAAAATTACACCCTGGAGGAAGCAGCCCATCCTATTGAAACTCTGCTCTAGTTCTCACAAGAAGTCTGAGTGCCGGGCTTTGGGAACTGTTCTATGCATGTCTTCCAGGATCTTGTGATTAATTTTTCAGGTAATGCCTACTTCCCCAGCTGATTTTGCCACACGCCTTGATCTCCTATATCATTTCCCTCTGATAGACAGAAATCCCCATTGTTTTTTGGTACCGGTGATCAAACTCAGGACCTTGCGTTTTCAAGGCAGGCAGCGGCACCACTGAGCTAAATTGTGGCCCTTCGCATAATTCTTTATGGGGTTCTGAGGAAAAGTCAAACTTTGTTGGACATCTGTAGGCTTGAGTGAAGAGTTAAATTTCATAGCAAAATGGCTTTTAAGTCTCTGGCTGTCTCCGGAGAAAACACAAGTCACGTTTTTAATACGCAGCAGGTAAGGGCCCAGGATTCTGCCTCTTTCCTCAACCCTATAATGATCCCTGTGTTATTGTTCTTGTAAAAATAAAATGGGATATGTTTACCTAATTTGGAGAGAAGTAGGGCCTTGCTTACTCCTTAGATGGACCTTCACTTAGGTTGTTTTGAGAGTTTTAGATATTTTTTTCAACCCTCACTAAATAGTCTGAACTTTATATTGGCCCTGGAACTTATCAGCACATTTAGAGATGTTACATTGTCTTGAGCTAAAGTTTGAAAGTACAACTTTGTAGAGATCTTATCTATAGCTAATGATTAAGAAAGCAAAGCCAGGCATGGTGGTGCACACCTTTAATCCCAGGGAGGCTGAGGCACCAGAATTGCTGTGAGTTCGAGATCAGCCTGGGCTACATAGTGAGTTCCAGGTTAGTCTCAACTACATAGTGAGACCCTGTCTCAAAAAAAGAAAGAAAGAAAACAAAGTCACATCTTCACTTTTGAAATAGCCCCCTACCCACCTATCTCCAGCTTGCTAATGACTTTCTGCCTAACATTATAATTGTGTCAATTGGAAGAATGGGAGCTACGCAGTGATAGGTGAAAGGGAGTCAGTGGCCCAGTCCCTCACCACAGAAGGAGATGTCAAAAGGGGAAAGGGGATAGATACTGTAACTCCCTTCCTAAAACTCTCATCCTTTTAGGATCCTCAAATTTGAGGCTATTAGGAAAGTCTACCTGGCACCCAGGTGTGAAGAGGTTGTGTTTTGTGGTAGCTCCTTCTAAAAGTGGCTCACCAATTTAATCTTACCACAGGCTTTGGGTTGCTGGCCTCTCCTTCTGGAGTTGGATTCCAGGTTATTCTCATCTTGAACAAACAATTAAATGAAATTGGCAAAAAGCAGTAACAAAGTTTATTTGAAAAAGTAAAGGACAAAAGTGAGAGAAAAACTGGCTCTGGAGACTGGTCCTGGGTGGAATAAGAGAGGACTAAAACTACACCCTGAAAGAAGCAGAGCAGGCTATCATAAGGAAAGCCACAATAGCAAGCTCTTCTTGGCACCTATGTGCTTTTTATACTGTCCAAATCTCGAGGAAAGCTGTGAGAACTTCTACATAATGGTCCTGAGAAGGCATGTTGGGATCCCATGCCTCAGGCTAACATCAGGTCTAGGCCATTCTTTTGAAAATCTGCTTGAGTTCTCACCAGAAGTCCAGTTTGGGAACTGTTCTGCACATGTTCTCTAGGATCTTGTAATTAACAGGTCATGCCTACTTTCCCAGCTAGCTTTGCAATACCCTAATCTCCTGTCTCAAAACTGCAACACAAAACCCACTTATTTATTCCAAAGTGCCAACACTGCAGTGGAATCCGAATGCTGGTTTTCTGCAGTGATGCTGGGGCAACTTGACTCATATGCCGACAGAGAGGGTTCTGCATGCCCACTGTGCCATAGTTTTGCCATCACTGGAATAGAGGCGCAGAGAGATGAGTAACTTGCCCAAGAATGTATAGTACCTAAGTAGTAGAGCGTTCAGAATTTGTTTTCAGTGTGTGAGGTTGGGTCCCCCTTCAGCACCTCTCTTTTCCCTCTCTAGATTACCTGAGGTGAGGCATAGGAAAACAGAGGCAGAGATAAAGAAAGAGAGGGCCACTGGGATGCCTTTAGTCAGTCATTGTGAATGTTGGAAGTCTAGGATTTAGATAGAAATCCAGGGATGCCTGTTTGGCTTTTTTTGAAAGCCAAGACTTGCTTAGCCTTCTTGGAACCTCACTTCTGCTTTCTCCCATAATGATATGATCCCTGACCCCTTTCCTACTCACACCTTTCTATTTGGTGACCCTGGGATAAGCATCTGAAAAAAAGTTTTTTTGACATTTCCTTCAAGTGCTGCTCATAAGACACTAGCAGTGATGTGGAAACTGAGAACTGCTGGTTGCTTCAGAGACCACAACATATATAGTTCTCTACTTTAAATATTCTGTTTAAGATTAAAATAACATTTCAATTATTTACCATGGAGAAAAATTGACCTTCCAGGAAGATGCACCAAATTTATTGTTTGCTTTCACAGAAACCCACCTGGCCCTTGATGTGTGAAAATAACAGCTATTCTTTATTGGGTGATTACTATGTGCCAAGCACACTGTTAAATGTCGAATGGATGTTAGCTTAAATTTTTACAACACTCTTTGGAGGAAGATGTTATTGTTGTCTCTGTACAGATAAAAGGAGTAAAGATGTTGAGAGGTCAAGTCAGTTGCCTGAAGTTACTCAACTAGCAAGTGGAAAAGCTAGAATTTTGCAGTCAAAGGTCACCCTTCAATCAAACACCTCATTTTCTTGCCTTTGATACTAAGGCTTTATAAGATCCAGTTACATGGGAATGTAATTGAGAGACTATGCTGGAAGAGGAAATGAACACAACCCTAGGAGATGCTTCAGTTCTGTTTCAGAGTATCGGCTGATAAGCCATGTATCAATCTTCTTTCCTCTTGCCGGGAGTAGGGAGGAACAAGGGACAACAGGAGAGTGTCTGTTGCTCGTGTTCTAGAACAATATGCAGGTTAGTTTTTGGTCTTAGTTTCATACTTGATGTAAACTTCATTCAAGACAAGTAGAAGGACCTGATTATTCAAGAGACAAGTGGTAGGAAAAAATGCAGAATAATAAAAAATGTACAGGACAAATGCAAATATATATTTGCACTGTGAGTGGTAAAAATATGTAAGCAGGAGTGATGAGTATGTAAGTAGTGATATAGATATATATTTTCTTTGCTTTTTTGAGACATGGTGTCTCTGTTATCCAGGCTGGCCTCAAATTCTGGGCTTATGTGGTCCTTCTGCCTCAGCCTCCTGAGTGCTAAGACCATAGGAGCACGCCACCGTGTCTGGCCAAGGTATGTATATTTATATGAGTATTGACACATGTGTATAAATATTGTGTAATAGCATCTGAATATTATATTTCTATACACATATTGTGAATTGAGTGAGGCCACACAATATGTTGTGTGAAAGGCTCTCCTGAATGCTTTTAAGATTAAAGAAGGTCAAGAAAAAAAGAAGAGCAAAACAAACAAAAAATATTAGGTGCACATATGTATATCTGTGTGCATTTATTTATGTAAATAACCAAGCCTCACAACTTGATAGAACTTCATCATTATAAGGGATCTTGACATCCATTATCTTGGTGAAGTGGGTGAACTATGTTTTGTTGTCTCTATTTTTCTAGATAAGGAAACAGAAACTCAAGAAATGTATGTGATTTCCCTGAGGCCATATTGGAAATGACAAAACAAGGACTGAGGCCCAACTTTTTTTCTAATTTTGGTGTACTAAAAATAGTAGGATTCGTTTATTTTTACTTACGTGATTCTGTGGACGTGTGAACATGTGTCTGTGGGCATTATACTATTGGGACTTCTTGGAAAACACAAGTTCTGAGGTGCTTCATTTCCATAATTCTTTTAGTGGGATTCTCCATGGTAGGAAACAAGTGTATATGGAAAGAAAGGGAGAAAAGAAGACTGAGAGAAAAACAGAAGGCAGACAAGAAGAAAAAAAAAAGGTAGAAGAAAAAAAAAGAAAGGGGCAGAAAAACATAACTCTTTGGTACATGAGTTAATTAATTTTTAAAAAACAGATTCCTTGTGATTTGAAAGGCCTCTCAGTGACAGCAGAAATACTAACAAGAATATAACTTTAGAACTCAGAAAAGATGTGTGTGTAGAATTCACCTCCCACTTAAATGCTGTTGGTTAAAACTATGTCACTTCCAGTTTTCCTCATCTGTAAAATGGGGCTAAAACATGTTAACAATTAAAATGGTTTGTTAGGAAAAACAAAATATTTTTATGGCACCTAAAAGGAACTCACAATTTAACACCTCACACCTACCGTCACTCTACTGAGAGTATGGAGGCCCAGCCATTTCCTAACTCATTCACTTCCTATCCCTGCCAGGTTCCCTATGAGCAGATTGGTGCAGGCCTTGCATTAGGTGCTCTGAGGCTTCCTGTCAGAGAACACTGACTCCAATGGAGAGCAGGTACAGGCCTCCCTGACTGAGGAAGAATCAGTCAATTTTCCAGAAGATTTTGGCAGCCTGGCAGGAAGAGAAAGATAGTGTGGACAGTTGGTTAAAACTAGGATTTATGGTGAGAGTGGTGGTACTGAGGAAGCTGAGGCAGGATGATTGCAAGTTTGAGTGCAGTCTGGATGACTTAGGACTTAGCAAGACCTTGTCTCAAAATAAAAAGGCCTGGGGATGTATCTGAGTGTGAAGGCCCTCAGTTCAATGCCAACTACCACAAAAACAAAACAAAACACTAGGTTTGAATTTAAAACAAAGAGACTAAAAAAATAACAAAAAATAAAAACAAAACACAGTTTGTAGATAATCCACTGGTTATTAACATGTTGATAACTGAAAGTTAAACATGTCTTCTGACACTATTTCAACTCTTCCATTTAGGTTAAATGTGCCCTGGACCTCTGCTACCTGACCCTTGGTTCAAACTACTGCAGAGTCCCACTCAGGCCTCAAGTGCTTATATAATAAACCTGAGGATGGAGGCTCAGGGTCTTGCTCTTTCCTTAATTTTTTCCTTTCACCTTTAGTAACTGATGATAACCTAGATAAGCTTTGCGTTTTCCTATGAAGCCCAGTGAGGGATAGGGTGGTGCCCTCCTTCTCAATTTTGTTATAGGCTACTTCATTTATAACATGATTCTGACTGAGCCTTGGTGCTCCCTGCTGTTAATCTTTCTCACCCCATGTTGTCCTCTTTCTGGGCCCTCTGGATATCTCTCTCTTTGTACTTCATGCTTCTGTCTTTTCATTGTTCCCAGGCTCTTTTGGGCCCTTGTCCTTTCAGGATCACCACTTGCCTTCACTATTTCCTCCTCTTCAGTTTACTGAGTTTGATTATGATGTAGGTGCCTTATGTGTTCTGGTTCGTGATCCTTTGCAAAGTGCCCTGTGCCTGCAAATTCTCTTCCTAGTGCATCAGGTAATCGTACAGAAGCAGGTAGTATAGGTAACTAGTACCAAATGGCAGACTAAGTCCAAAAGTTTGCTTTCCTCCCTCTCATTTGTCTTCTATCCCTCAGTCCTTTCTATTCATTGCACAAACATATATGGAAATAGGTCATCTCTTTCTCTCTTGCTCTTTTATTTTTTAGATGGGTCCTCACTCTGTTGCCCAGGGTGATCTCAAACTCATGTGCTCAAGTGATCCTCTCACTTCAGCCTCCCAAGTAGCTGGGACTACAAGTATGTGCAACCATCCCAGCTCAACAAGCATATGCTAAGCTCCTTCTATGTGCCAGGTTTTGTTCTGGGCACTAGGAATCAAATGGACCACATAGAATCCCTGTCTTTAATGAAGAAGCACCTCCTCCTCCTGGATTTTTGCTTCTTACTAGCAAAATTTTTTGGAGAAAGTTGCTTAACCTATCCAGGCCTTGCTTCCTATATAACCCAAAATTGTAGGCACAATATAGGTGCTATGAGAGAAGCCAGAGTGAATACAAAGGAAGGAGAGATCAGTTCCATTTCTTAACATCAAGATAGTCCATTCCTGTTGCTATTAAATATATCACAGACTGAGTAATTGATAGAAAAGAAAAATTTATTTTTTACAGTTCTGCAGGCTAGAAGTCCAAGGTGAAGGTGCCAATGTGATTGTTTTTTTCTGAGGCCTTTCTCCTGGGGTTGTAGATGACTACAGTTTTTCCACATCCTTAATATGATCTTTCCTCTGTGCTAGTGCATCCTTGATCTGTCTGTCTATGTGTCTGCCTGTCTCTTTTCATATTTTCTCTTTCTGCAAGAAAAACAGCTGGATTGGGTTAGAGCCCACCCTAATGGCCTCATTTGAATTTAACTGCCTCTAATGATCCTGTCTGCAAATACAGTCACGTTATGAGTACAGGGGTTAGAGATTCAGTGTTTGAAATTTTTTGGAGGGGGGAATTCAGTTCATTACACTGTCACCATCCTGGTTCTTGGCATTCCAGGAAGATGAATTAATTAGCCTTTCTGTCACACTCGAGGAACAAGAGAGCACAGGCAAGCAAAGTATAGGTTTAGAGAAAGCAATTTTATTGTAAAGCAGGATACAGCTCATAGAGAAGCCAGATTGTTAGAAGTTCCTTTTATTTCCCTATACTTTCCACTTTAAAGGTGCTCTATGCCTTCTTCCTGCATGTGGTTTGTATGAATGAAGTGACAGCTAAAGACATACTGGATGTGTAGAGTCTGTGGGGTGGTGTGGGAGGGCTTCCTCACAGGCCAAATGGCTGAGGGGAAGGGGAGGGTATAAGGAGCAGACAGCTACTCTTCTCTTTTCTTTAGAGTTCAAGACAGGATGTGGCAGGGGAGAGAGGAAAAGAGGAGTAACGGCAGCTTGGTTATGTAACCAGCACTGCAAAATGAAATTTCTGAAAGTTAGGTTGTTTTGCTTTTAAAGATTAATTTCTCCAAACTTCTTACTGCTGGAAACCTCCTCCTCTCTTAAGGCCCCCAAAAGTGACAGAGTATGCAGATACCAGTCCCAAGAAGCCAGGTACCTGGTTTGTACTGACTTTAAGGTTCAGCTCCTTATGGCTTTCAATTATGATTTAAAGATTTTTGTATCTTCAGCACCTATCTCTATACCTGACATATTGTAGAATTTCAAAAAATATTTACTAAAATGCATAAACTGCCTTTTTACCTAAAATACAGACTGTTACTCTTTCCCTACTTACAACCATTATTATTCCACACACACTCTGTTCAAATATCCAACTGTCCTGGGTTTGCTCCAGATGTGTGACCTTGCATCTGAAGAGGGCCCCTTCTCTGTCTCTGCTCTGCCTGCTCAAGGATTTCCTAACTTTGAGTCGATCAGATATAGCAGTGAATGTAGGAATCCATTTGGTTTTCTTCTGTCCCAACAATCCTTGTCCTTCTTAGTCTTACCCCTGACAGGGCATGTTCACTCTCCAACATCATATGTGTGAAATTTATGTAATGGCTGAGGAATTCTTGTTCACAATTTAGGTGGGAGAGACAGAAGGGGGACCAGAAAATGGGTGGCCCACTCACTTTACTTCTCAAAGGTGTTTTATGGGGCAAAGCTATGAAATGAGGCATGCACAAAGCGGGTACAAAACTATAACATCCCAAGGAAAATTACAAGGTGGGCACGAGGGGGGACAAAACCGTGATCAACCAATAAGATTAAATGGAGGTAATATTGATTAAATGGAGATCAAATAGGGAAGCTAGTAGGTAGCAAGCTACATGGATTTCTCAGAAGTACTGGGCTAGCTAGGGATGTTTTTGGTCTCCAATTAAGGTGATTGATGTCTATTTAGAATATCAATCATTGCATTCATCTCTGGGGGAAATATGTGGGTATAGTAATTACTCTGTTTTTGATAATAAAGAACAAAGGAACCCAAAAAGCTCTTCGCCAGCACCGTTTTGTGAGTCATCAGGAGCCCACTCTTCCTCCTCCAGGGAATTACTGGGAGCAGGTCTTTCACTTGGGTCAGGCTCCACAAAGCAGCAATGTAGCTAACAAGGAGACCTGGAGTTTGGTTGAGTCCAGTTCAAAGTCTACCATATACAGTTCAAATCTCCTGATGGTAAGGGGGAGAACCTTCTCTCCAGCAGAGCCAGATTTTATATATTTTAGTACTTCAAAATTTTAGTCTCTGGTCTTGGAGTTGGCACTCCTGAGCAGTTTATAACTCTGCCCCTGGTGATTCTGCTTGAGCTCTTCACCCCTTCTCTAAAACTTTAGACCCTTGACCTGTCTGCCTGACTAGAGGCAAGAAAGGTCAGTGCAGGAGTGGGAGCTTTTGAAGACACAAGAGTTTGAGAAAAGCAAGAGTAGATTAG